TGTGGCTTTCCTTCAGGTGCCCTCCTTGTGTTAAAGGCCCGTAGGGATCTGCCTGGTACCCCCCTCACCCAGGTCCTGCAGAATACATAGAATCATCAAATCACAGACTGATTTGGGTTGGGAGGGACCTTAAAGCCCACCCAGTCCCACCCCCTGCCATGGGCAGGGACACCTTCCACTAGACCAGGTTGCTCCAAGCCTCATCCAGCCTGGCCTTGGACACTCCCAGGGATGGGGCATCCACAGCTTCTCTAGGCAACCTGTCCCAGTGCCTCCCCACCCTCTGCGGGAAGAATTTCTTCCTGATATCTAATCTAAACCTCCCCACTTGCAATTTAAACCCGTTACCCCTTGTCCTGTCACTCCCTGCCCTTGGAAAAGGTCCCCCCCAGCTTTCTTGACCCCCCAGGCACTGAAAAGGGCTCTGAGGTCTCCAGGGAGTTTTCCCTTCTCCAGGCTGAACCCCCCAACTCTCCCAGCCTGTCCCCATGGCAGAAGGGCCCCAGCCCTCGGAGCATCTTCGTGGCCTCCTCTGGACTCGCTCCAACCAGTCTATATCCTTCTGATGCTGAGGCCCCACAGCTGGACGCAGCACTCCAGGTGGGATCTCCCCAGAGCAGAGTCCAGGGGCAGAATCCCCTCCCTCGCCCTGCTGCCCACGCTGCTCTGGATACAGCCCAGGACACGGTTGGCTTTCTGGGCTGCCAGCGCACACGGCCGGCTCATGCCCAGCTTTCCATCCCCCAGCACCCCCAAATCCTTCTCCTCAGGGCTCCTCTCCATCCATTCTCCACCAGCCTGTCCTTGTGCTGGGATTGCCCCCCCCTGTTATCATGCTTTTGTTTTCCCGTCAGACTTTCCCCTCAAAGGCAGTGCCGTCAGTAGGTGGAGCAGTCTCAGTAGGGAACATTGCCCAGTGTCACACCAGTCTAACAGGGCCCCGGTCCCACCTCTGGCCTTTCACAAACAGGTAAGAATGGAGGACTGGACACTCCACTTCTGCCTCCTCGGACTTCCTCCACATTTCCACTCTCATTCCACCTTCTTAACTAATTTTTTCTTGCTCAAGCACAGCTTTACGGTAAAGATTCTTGTTCAGGCACGTACCTGGTGTGTAATCTCACGTCTTTAACAGATTTTTCTTAAATACAAAACCACTTCAAGCCATGCCTCCAGGGGCATATGGGAATTTTGTCTTTCACAAACAAAACTTCTCTCTCTGTAGTTTCAGAGAGGAAGTGGGAAAAGTGATCACTGATGCAGCGGCCCTGAGGCCTGCAGCCTCTCATGCCTGTGAAGCTGGTTTCCTGAGCCCTCCCAGGTCTGATGCGAGCGGCGTGGGGGAAACGGTGCTGCTGGTGCGGTTGCAGCAAGGGGAGCGCACCGGGCACGCAACGTAGGCATCGGCGTGGAAGGCCAAGTGGATGCTTTGCAATCCCAAGCCAAGAGGGTCGCTGGAAAAAAACAGTGGGATGTCGTGGTGCTTAGCACCCTGACGGGGTTACAGCAACTCCCCAAAGCATCCCCTGAAGATTTTCCTTCAAATGCTTTGCTAAGCAGCGATGATGAAACAGGACCCCGATGTGCCCTCTCACAGGTTCAGAGTGGTCGGGGTTGGAAGGGACCCCTAGAGACCATCTAGTCCAACCCCCTGCCAGAGCAGGATCCTCTAGAGCAGATCACACGGGAACAAGTCCAGGGGCTTTGGAAAGTCTCCGGGGAAGGAGACTCCACCCCCTCTCTGGGCAGCCTGTTCAGGGCTCTGTCACCCTCACAGGGAAGAAGGGTTTCCTCATGGTCACACTGACACT